TTATTACTTCTTTTGCCATCTCGAAGCCTGGTCAACTGTGGCCGGTTTGACCGGGCTTTTTCTGCCATTTTACTACCTTGTTTGGCTTCTTCTTCTTCTTCCTCTTCATCATCTTCTTCATGAACTACTTCATGGATATCCACAAAATGGATATTTGTTGGGTTTTGGGAATTCCGTTCCTTACCCATTTCGTGATGAAACTCTGATGTACTTTTTTAATCGTAGTGCAAGTTTTTAGGGTATTTAGTTGTTTGATAGTTTATAGAATGCATAAAAATTAAAAAACAAGTCTCGTCATATATTTGTAACGTAGAAATGAGGAAGTGCAAGGATGATTTTTGTATAATTTCACATGCAATATATGCATTGTTGGGTTGTGATTGTTAGGGTCACGGGAAGTGGTTCAGTTTGTGGTGAGTGTTTGTATTGAATTTAATGGAAAGGAGTCAAAGGGGGGCTTTTTGAAGGGGTATCTCGTGAGAGAAGAGAACTGCTGTCTACAATTTCTATTTTCTTCCATGAACATATGTAAAAACAACGTGGATTAATTTAAGCCTTTAGAATTATGATATTAGAATAAAAAAGAAGCAATTATTTACTACCTCTTAATTAAGGACACGATTTGGATAATTTTATGTTTTATTTCTATTTTTTTATTTTTTATCCTTTATTACTAGCCCTTAGAAAAAGAATACACGATGTGGATAATTTTATGTGCATGAAGTTCTGCAGGATCAATAAAGATGAATTTTAGAAGGAATGGTCGAATTTATTTTCAAATTATACGCATAAATTGGAGACTCATTCGCAAACTAAGGCTACAGGGGAGTGGACTTGGTTTTAACCGATAGTTCCGCCACATCATCACCCAAAACACTATCCCCTCACTACGGTTTTTACCGTACAATCTCTCTCTTCACCAAAATACTATCACACTCCCAATTCTCTCTCTCCTTATTTATTTGATTTCTCTCTTCTTTCTCAACCAATCAATTTTTTTTCTTTTCTCTCTCCTAACCATTCTCCCACCCTTGGTGTGGTATCAAATTGATGATATGAGAAAAATTATAAGTTGGCATCTATGTGGCATAAAAAGTAGTGTGGTTTCAGTAGCATTACTCCCTCCAGCCTAACATCACGCCAAATAATTTATAAAATAAAAATCTTCTTTCAACTTTTCATATAAAAAATAAAGGATTTTTAATATATGCTCTAAGATCATATATATATATAAAAAGCATTAAATATCATAAATATTATCATAACAAATCATATTAAATCAGGACAATTGGTTTTGGGTATAGGCCTTTTTAAAACCAAAAATTTTTAGTTTGGGTTCGGTTAGGATGTTATAACCAACCCACAAAACGAAACTGAAACCGGCCCATACATGCCATAATTCTAAGTACTTTTAATATATTATTAATAATTATTGTATTATTTTGTTAGAAGTAGAAACACATGTTAGTTTGTCTATTCTGGTGCTTGTGAACTACATACGTTGTACTATAGATGATATTTGGAAGATGTATTGTGTACTTATTTGGAAATGATCGGTACATTAAAAGTATATTACACAATAACTAAAGCTTACAAACTTTAAAAATAAAACTAGAACTTATTTAACCATAGTTAATAATTGCTAGTTGTATCATCTCTTCACAATCTATGCACTTATTTAACGGGTACAGGAGTAGCAACGAGAGGTGTTACCCTTAGCAAAGCGAGGCCAAAAATGTCATTCATGTCCATTTCTTCCCTAGCATGTGGAAGCTTCCATTCAAAATGATACACAAACGATGCAACCATTAAACTCACAGCCCTATGAGCCAAGGGAATTTCAGGACACATCCTTCGCCCTGATCCAAATGGTATAAACTTGAAATGTTGACCCTTGTAGTCGAGTTCATTTCCCAAGAAACTTTCTGGATTGAATTTTTTTAGCTCCTCCCAATACCTTGGGTCCCGTGCTATAGACCAGGCATTGATAAGAATTTGTGTATCTTTTGGCACAACATATTTACCGAGTTTAATTTCTGTTTCGGTTTTATGAGGTATTAATAATGGAACTGATAAATGGAGTCACATTGTCTCCTTGATAAGAGCATGCAAATATGGCAAATCAAGGATTTTGGCTTCTTGAATTTTCCCATCTTTTCCTACTATTGTGGACACTTCTTCTCGGACTCTTGAGAATATATCAGGAATAAAGTCATTTCCCATTCTGTTGTGTTTGAGCTTGTTTCTGTCCCTACTGAAAACAAATCCTGTAACGGAACATGGATATTAAAATCTTTCATTAGCATCATCGGGTTCACTATATATACAAAATGAAACAATTATCAAACCTTATTGGTATACTTCTTTATTTGAGAATATTAAAATATTATTTTTGGTTATTATGATCTATCCAACACTTCTATAATTCCAAATCCGACTATCATTTTCTTTCATTGTCTCTTTCAACGATCCACATAAAACCAATATGAAACTTTTGGACTTTTTGTAAGGAACGTTTCACAAGCGGAAAACTTGGAGTAATTATTTTTAAAAAGGAAATCAAAAGTAGTGAATTTTATCTTAAATTACTAGAAGTAGTTGGCTTGCTAAATGCTAGATGTGGCTCCTTAACTATTAGGCAAATGTCCGCGTGTTGTGCAGAAGCAACTATATAGTTGAATTATTTACAAATATATGTTTTTTCTAACATATAACAATAACGATGTTGTTAAATTTGATATAATAATTTGTATATTAAATTGATATAATATATTAATTATTTTGAATTATATGATAATATATACATATATTATTACTTCATAATCCCAATTATTTAAAATGACTTCTACCCGCGAGTTATATATGAATAAAATTAAATATAATATATGGTTTAATGTTTTATCATTTTTGTTATTATTAATTAATTTTTTAAAATTAATTTTCTTAATGTTTTAATTTCTATCATTATAATTATTTAAAACATCAAATATTACTTTTTGATTTTAAAGGTAACAATATAATCATTTATATAGAGTTATTTTTAACTATTGTTTTTGTAAGTAATTTTAAGCTACTTATTTGGAAACTTTTAAAGATTATAAAAATATTTTTAGGAAATATTTTAGTTAAATTGAGATTAAAATTTAATTTTTGCATCACTCACTACAATTTATCACTTTAAACTATTTACAAAGTATTCTTTGGTTTTTTAAGTGGAACTGAAATTTATATTTAAGTTAACATTGTAATGCGCAGAAACATCTATATGGTTGAAGTCTTTATATATATATATATATATATATATATATATATATATATATATATATATATATATATATATATATATATATATATATATAACAATAACGTCGTTGTTAAATTTGATATAATAATTCGTATACTAAATTGATATAATATATTGATTATTTTCAATTAGATGATAATAGATACATCTATTATAACTTCATAATTTCAATCGTTTGAATAATTTCTACCTACAAGTTACACATGAATAAAATTAAATATAATATATGGTTTAATGTCATTTATAATTGTTGTTATTGTTAATTATTTTTTAAAAATTTATTTGTTTAATGCTTTAGTTTCATCATTATAATTATTTAAAACATCAAACATTATTTTTTATTTTAAAGATAACAATATAATCATTTATATTGAGTTGTTTTTAACGATTGTTTTTGTAAGTTGTTTTAAGCTACTGATTTGAAAACTTTTGATGATTATAAAAATATCTTTTGGAAATATTTTAGTTAAATTTAAGTTAAATTAAGTTTTTGCATTTATCACTATAATTTATCACTTTTAACTATTTACAAAATATTCTTTGATTTTTTATGTGGAACTGAAATTTATATTTAAGTTGACATTGTAGTGTTATATTTAAGTTAATAATTTAAGTACTTAGTCCAAACTATTTAAAGTTGTAGCTTTAAATTAATAATGGTTTACATATAACGACAAATTAAATCTAATAAATTAAGTATAATATGTTAAAAGTTAAAGACATAACTTTATAAGTAGAAGTAAAGATATTATTTTAAAATTGAAATTTAGTTTTTTTATGATTACACTTTAGGTGTGATATTTATTTAACCTTATTATTAGAAAGACACTATAATTTATCACTTTTAACTATTTACAAAATATTTTTTGGGTTGTTTAAGTGAAATTATAATTGATATTTAAGTTAACTCTGTAATATTATATATCAATTAATAATTTAAGTATTTTATACAAATTGTTCCAAAATTGTATCTTTAAAATAATAATGGTTTACATCCAACAATATATTAAAACTAATAAATTAAATATAATATGTTAAATGTTAAAAACATAACTTTATAAGTAAAAGTAAAGATAGTATTTTAATATTAAATTTTAGTTTATATATGATTACACTTTAGGTTTGATACTTATTTAACCTAATTAACCAAATTATAATTATTATTAGAAAGAAATTGAAAAAGTCATGAGAGTTTCAAATGAATGTGGTGAAAGAAAAAAATGCATGAGAGTTCCAAATGAATGTGATGCTTTGAAAAATGTTTCTTTTATAAGTATATAATGATATCACCGTTTCCCTCCAAAAAAAAAAAAACTTAGTAGTTGGAGTATTAAAGGCTTTCTGGTGGAATAAAGTCCTAATTATGCCATGTTATTGGAAACAAGTTGCCACGATTTGAATTATACGATGAACCAACCTGATTCAAATTAAATACTTAAATATGTTGAACCTTACAGATTATATTAGATACTCTTTAAAAATTTGAAAAAAAAAAACCATAGTTACTTATTATTTAGAAAGAAAAAAAAAATCTAAACAACTCGAGCATTAAGAATATTTGGAATCTATGCCTTGTTTAGTGTTTCTTTTAAATAATGTTTTTTCTATAAAAATAATAGTAAAATAAGGAAAATGAAGGAGAATCTACCATAAGTAAAGTCTTGATATGTATGAGATTGAAGTTTACTTCGTTTCCTTAACTGTAGTCCAACAGTGAATCCAGCATATCACCAAACCTCTCAAGGCTCGACATTCGATGCTTTAGTCTCTCACTTATGAAACCTGTTGTCACTCTATCGAACCAATCATAAGCAACCTTCGCCTGCCGCCGTATGTTCTGAGGGTCCAACGGTTTCAACACCGGAAATATGTCTGCCATGTTAAACTTCCCGTCCACCTCCATCAATGTCTTCACAGCCGTCTTGAACCCACCGATATCATCTGACTTATAGCTGGTCATGTTTAGTGAAAGGCATGTGTTTGACATCTGGTTGAGCGCCACTGCGAATGACAACTTTCCTATATCCACGGCCACCTTCTTCCGCCCGGATTCCCGGAGGAACTCCAGCATGCCCTCGACAACGTTCTGGCGAAGGTCACGGAGGGTGTTGAGTTTGTGTTGGTGGATGAGGTAAGTGTTGAGGGCTTTCCTGATGGTCCGCCACTCCTCATTTGGTGAGATCCATAGGACCGCCATGTCATGGTTATCCAAGGCGGTGATGACATCTGGGACGATACGGCCGGAGCAGACCTCCTCATTGCGTTGGAGGATTTCTCTGTCGGCATCATGTGTGGACGCCACCATGCTGGTAATGCTGCCTAATCAGAAATTAGTTTTGAAATGGTTTTATGTCATGTTTTTTTGTTTTGAATAATTCAAAGCCATGTTAGCACTAAAGTCCTGGTCTTATGCAAGTAGGGGTAGTTGGAGTCTTTTTAGCAAAATTCTCAGTTTAAATAGGTGTGCAGTAGGCACGTTGAATGTATTCTTTTCCCTTTCAGTTCAGTGAATAAAAGCTTCCAGCTTTGAAGCATTGTGCTATGTTTTTACTTTGTTACTATTCCATTGTTAAAACTAAGGTTGCAGGCTTGTGTCAAGCCAACAGTTGGTATCAGAGCATACCTGGTACAAGCCCTAGTATCAACCTAGAAAAGAAGAAATGGCAGGCAGTGGCAGCAATGGGAATGGTGACAAAGATGGGAAAATCACCCTGCACTACCCGATGTTAACAAGAAGCAATTACAGTGCATGGGCAATCAAGATGAGGGTTTTTATGCTGGCCCAGGGTGTTTGGGATGCAGTAGAACCCAAAACAACCAACACTCTTATTGAAGCAAAGAAGGAAAATATGGCCTTGGCTGCCATTTATCAGGGGATACCTGAGGATTTGCTGATGACATTGGCGGAGACGAAGACTGCCAAAGAAGCCTGAGAAGCTCTAAAAGTTATGTTTGTAGGGGCAGACAGAGTGAAGGTTGCAAGGATTCAAACACTCAAAGCTGAACTTGAAGCCATGAGTATGAAGGAAACAGAGAGTGTTGATGATTTCACAGGAAAAGTCATCAACACAGTCAGCACACTACGAACCTTGTGAGATAAGGTAGAAGAATCTCAAGTTGTGAAGAAATTATTGAGGGCAGTTTCATCCAAATTTCTTCAGATTGCCTGGACACTCAAGCAATTTGGAGACTTGGAATCAATGTCCGTTCAAGAGGTGATCGAGAGACTTAAGGCGTATGAAGAACGGATGAAGAGCTCATGTGAAAGAGATGATCGGAAACTCTTGTTGGAGTGGTCCGATAGAAATAAAAAGAAATCGGAAGGTGACTCAAAACAAAGAGCAAGCCGAGGTGGCTTAAGTGGTTCACGTGGCGGTCGTGGCAGAGGAAGAGGAAGAAACGGAGGAGGCCGTGGTGGTCGCGGTGGCAGAAGCGGAACACCTCACCAAAAGGAGAACAATTTCGATGCATCGAGTAGTCATGACAAGAGTAACATTCAGTGCTACAATTGCCAAGAGTATGGGCATTATGCATCTGAATGTAAGAATTCTTGAAAGGAACGAAGCCATGAGAGTAAGCTAGTCCATGAGCATCATGAAGATGAACCTGCCGTGTTGCTGGCAACATACGAGGATGAGAGCTTTGTATTCTTGAATGAAGAAAACCTTAGCCCACAATTGAGAACCCATGGAAATCCAAAGAAGTTATCCTGCACATGGTACATGGACACATGTGCCAATAATCATATGACTGGAGACAAGACTAAATTTAGAAGCTTCAATGAATCGATTCATGGTTTTGTAAAGTTCGGGAATGAATCGAAAGTGAGAATTGAAGTAAAGGGGTCTATAGTCTTTAAATGCAAAAATAGTGGGCATCGAAAATTGAATGATGTATACTACATACCTGATTTATGTAGTAACATCATCAATTTGGGTCAATTAGCAGAGGGAGGAGATGAGATCAAGATTAAAGACCCATTCTTATGGGTACATGACCCAAATGGCAAGCTACTCATGAAGGTTAGAATATCAATGAATAGACTCTACAAGATTGAATTAGAAGAAGATACTGCAATATGTTTTGCCGGAGAAGTTGAAGACTCAACGTGGCTGTGGCACAAACGATTGGGGCACATAATTTTCAATTCATTAAAACAAATGGTTGATAAGAATATGATTGAAGGAGTGCCACAGATAACAATTCCCACACATCTCTGTGAAGGTTGTTTAGTGGGAAAACAAACAAGGGAACCCTTTCCAAATCAGACGAGTTTCAAGGCAAAGAAAAAACTTGAATTAATCCATGGTGATTTATGTGGGCCAATTACTCCTCCAACACCCTATGGGAACAAATACTTCATGTTGATGGTTGATGACTTCAGTAGAGTGATCTGGGCATACCTACTGAAATCAAAGGATGAAGCCTTACAAGTATTCAAGACTTTCAGAAGAAAAGTAGAGACTGAAACAGGGGAGAATGTTAAAGTATTCAGAACTGATCACGGAGGAGGATTTCTCTCAAACGAATTCACTAAGTACTGTGAAGAAATCGGATTGGAAAGGCATTACACGTCTCCTTACTCTCCACAGCAAAATGGAGTAGTAGAGAGACGTAATCGAACTATATTGGAGATGGTGAGATGCAACTTGAAGACCATGTCCATGCCTGATGTATTGTGGGGAGAAGCTGTTTCGTACTCTGTTTATGTCTTAAACAGAGCTCAAACTAAAGCCTTGAAAGAAGTGACTCCGTATGAAAAGTGGACTGGAAGAAAGCCACATATAGCACATCTCAGGGTATTTGGGTGCGTAGCCCATATGAAAGTTGTTAAAGGGAGTTTGAGGAAACTTGAAGATAGGAGTATGCTTCTGGTTCATCTCGGTGTAGAAAAAGGGACGAAAGCTTATAGGATTCTAGACACAGACACTGGGAAGTTGTATGTGAGTCGTGATGTCGTATTCGAAGAAAATGGAGCTAGGAAATGGGAAGAGAGTGTCAAGATCAAGGCGACCCCAGGAGTAACCTTCACCATCGACGGATTTGATTTCGATGGGATTATTGATGATGGAGAATGGAGGACGGACGCTCAAAATCAAGCAACTAGATCGGATCAAGTAAGTGGGTCATTTTCTAAATGGCCCAATAGTGAGCAGTCACATATGTTGGGTTACCCACAATCAAGCCCACCAGGTAGTCCGATATCGTCAAATACCCCATATACCCCTGTCGCACAAGGTGACCCTATTACGATCGACTCATCGTCTCAGGCAGCGACTCCGAGCACCGCTTCTAGCTCTACGGGCGGTGGAGCTCAAAAAAGGTTCAGGCTTCTTACCGATTTGTACGAAAGCACGCAGGAAATTCATGTACCCCCTGAAGACCTTATGTTGATACGAAGCGATGAAGAATCTACATCATACCTTGAGGCTAGTAAGAAAAGGAGTGGCAAGAGGCGATGGATGCTGAATTAGCCTTAATCGAAAAAAATAACACCTGGAAATTGGTCGATCTCCCAAAGAATCGCAAGGTCATCGGATTGAAGTGGGTTTATAAACTGAAGAAGGATCCAAGTGGGAAGATCATCAAGCATAAAGCCAAGATTGTAGCGAAAGGGTATGTCCAAAGGCATAGGATCGACTATGATTAGGTATTTACCCCTGTGGCCAGAATTGACACAATTCTTCTCATTTTAGCCCTAGCAGGTTCAAATGGGTGGAAGGTTCACCATCTGGACGTCAAATCAGCATTCCTAAATGGAAACCTAGAAGAGGAAGTTTACGTGAGTCAACCTAATGGTTATCAGAAAAAGGGCCAAGCTCACAAGGTGTACAAACTTTCTAAAGCCATTTACGGGCTCAAACAAGCTCCCAGGGCTTGGAATGCTTGCCTGGATCGACATCTGAAGAACATTGGATTCACAAGGTGTGCCTATGAATACTCTATCTACACCAAGAGGTATGATGAACATGTCTTGATTGTAGGAGTGTATGTAGATGACTTCATTGTCACATGGAGCTGCCCTAAAAGTGTTCAGTTGTTCAAGAAGGAGATGAACTCCAAGTTTGAAATGAGTGATTTGGGACTCCTAACCCATTACTTGGGAATTGAACTAAGTCAAAAGGAAGAAGGGATCACACTAAAACAGGAGTCCTATGCCAAGCATCTGCTTGCCAAAACAGGTATGCAAAACTGTAATCCCACAAAGACTCCCATGGAACACAAGCTGAAGCTTAAGAAAGAAGATGAATCTAAATTGGTGAATCCCACAGAATATCGAAGTATAGTTGGTGGGCCGCGGTATTTAACTCATACCAGGTCCGATATAACCTTTGTTGTGCGAATTGTTAGTCGGTTCATGGAGAAGCCAACCATGAATCACTTACGAGCAGTGAAGGGCATTTTGAGGTACATCAAGGGCACTCTGAACTTTGGTTTGAAGTACTCAAAAGGAAAGGAAAGTGTCACACTAAAAGGGTACACGAACAGTGATCTAGCAAATGATGTCAATGATCGAAGAAGCACAGTAGGGATGGTATTCTACATGAATGAGAACTTGGTTACATGGGCCTCACAAAAGCAAAGGTGTGTGGCACTCTCCACATGTGAAGCAGAATTTATGGATGCCACCATGGCAGCCTGTCAAGGAATTTGGCTCAGGAGATTGCTCAGTGAGATAACCGGACATAAGTTGCCACCTGTTGAATTGAAGGTTGACAACAAATCCTCACTAGATTTAATGAAAAACCATGTCTTCCACGGGAGGAGAAAGCACATAGATATCCGGTTCCACTTTATCCGAGAATGTGCTGAGAATGGGAACATTTTGGTCTCTCATGTCAGCAGCAAGGAGCAGAAAGCAGATGTCCTGACCAAGTCACTGGGAAAACTAAAGTTTGAAGAGATGCGAAGCCTCCTTGGAGTAATGAAGGTATGATTTCTGAATTAGGGAGGACAATGTTGGAATAATTCAGAAATTAGTTTTGAAATGGTTTAATGTCATGTTTTTTTTTTTTTTTGAATAATTCAAAGCCATGTTGGCACTAGAGTATCGGTCTTATGCAAGTAGGGGTAGTTGCAGTCTTTTTAGCATAATTCTCAGTTTAAATAGTTGTGCAGTAGGCACGTTGAATGTATTCCTTTCCCTTTCAGTTCAGTGAATAAAAGCTTCCAACTTTGAAGCATTGTGCTCTATTTTTACTTTGTTACTATTCCATTGTTAAAATTAAGGTTGCAGGCTTGTGTCAAGCCAACAGTTTCTTGGAGAGTTTCGCAAGGGACTCATGGGGTTTAGGTCCAAGCTCA